TTAGTTGATCGTGTACTATGGATGTGTATTACACAGTGTATGAATCATAGAGGAGCTAGAATATGTGTGACAGATAATTTAAACATGAAATTGGTGATGCCTGGGAACAGGTAGAAATAGAGTCAGAGAAATACAGGGAAATGCAAATCAAAGTGAATGGATGGGAGAACCCAGGTATTTGCTGCTGGCTTAACACAAACTTATTAGTAAAGTGTGGTGTTCAGAAAGAGTGCTATTTCACCATTCAAGGAGATGATTTTTCTTCAYACTACTCTGATCCTCCAATTGCTGCTTTGTCCCTTCTGTAACCAGACCCTTTCAGTTTACAAATGGACATTTAGAGGCAAAGGTGATTTATTTCTATGAAGTCTTACTCTACCTCTAAGATGAAAGAAGATCATAAAGTTAATTTGCCCAATATCCTAATGCACAGTGGGGAGTCAGAAAGCCTAGAGACTAGCTTTCTTCCTGTTAACCAACCTGCTTTGAGAGCTAGGCTGTTATTTAGCTTGTATCTCAAATTTCCTCACCTGAAAAGTAGGATAATTAACAACTGATCTTCCTAATTCATTGAGTAAAAATCTCATAAAATCTTATATTTGCTCTAACTAGGGCATTTGAAGGGCACAAGGTAGACACCCACATAGATCCTGCCAGGAAAAGGTTGTCTGTTTTCAGGAGAGACATAGATAGGAAGTAGAATGGTGAGGAGCATTCTTGAAACAACCAAAGTTCATCTGCCCTTCAAAAGTCATGCCATCTTATACTCCTGGCATCTCTCATTCTTTACACAAGACTGGTCCATTCTTGTTCAAACTGTGGCTTCCTAACTGGGTCTTCCTGCAAGGGCCCACAGTGGCCAATCTGGGCTGAATCTGTCTGATGACTTTAGAGCTCAGCTACTATAGGAAGTCACAAATGTCACTACTGCTCTTCAGACACATCAGGCTCATTCCCATATGAGGGCCTTCACATTTGTACTTCCTTCTTCAGATACTTTGTCCTAACACTTCACAGGACTTGTTCCCTTACTGCTGCATTTAAATCACTCTTCAGATGTCCCTTTTTTAAATTTGTTTTAATTAGTTACACATGACAGTACAATGACCTTGACATATACATTTGAATCAGATGGGATATAATTTCTCATTTTTCTGAGTGTACAGGTTGCAGAATTACATTGGTCATGCAGTCACAGCAATAATAATGTCTACTTTATTCGGCTGTCCTTCCATTCCCCCCCCCCCAGATGTCCCTTTTTAATGAGACCTTCCGTAGACACTCCACTTAGTGCTATCCACTCTAGTATTCCTTTTCCTTTATTCACTTTTATTTTATGAACATTGCCTGTCTCTTTCTGACATACATTTATTTTTATCTTTTTCACTCATTATATATCAAGTCAATGATGTCAGAAACTTTTTATTATTTTTAACAACTATATCTCTTGCTTAACATAATGACTCACATCTAAGAGGTACTCAACTAATATTGGAGAATGTACATTTAGTGAATGAGTGAATGAATGTGCAGCTGTTCCTGACTTKCGATTCCAAATTTCTAAGAGGAGAATTTAATGTATTCATTTCATATTTTTCAAAAGAGAAGACTCTACCAATTTCTGGTTGACCTGTGAGTTGTCATCCATGGCCAGTTGCCCATTCCTTGGTCTGATTAGACAGGGATGAGATGGGGCCACTTCATGTGGCAGAGCGCAGGCACATAGAGCACTAGGGCTAAAGGGAGGCGGATCCCTTAAGGAGGACCTTGAATGGCCCAGCCCTGATGGTTCTGAGAGTGCCAGCTTTGCTCTGGCAGAAAGAGAGAGAGGCCATATGCCTTTGACTAAGAATCACAAGGTTGGAAACCAGGTTGCCTCTTCCATGTACCAACTCCCCATTCTCTTACAACTTTTCTTAATATTAGTTTCTTATTTGTTCTGCATTTTATATTAAATTTCTATGTGAAACTAATAATACTGATAGTTAATATTTTCTATATAGCTTAACCTTGGGAATCCTCACAGCTATCCTCTGAGGTAGGTACTATGATTCTCTTCATTTTGTGTATGAAGAAATGTGAAAACAGAGAAAATAGGTTGCCTGGGGTCGTTTGGAGAGTGATTAACACAACCAGGATTTGAACCCAAGGACGTCTGGTTCTGTAGCTTCATCTAACAAGACCATTTTTATCCATTCAGTCCACAAGCACTTGATAGGAAGTCAATATTTTCCTAGAAATAAACATTCCCATGAGGTAAACACATATAAATATGTTTTCAAAATGACAAGATTATTATGTACAAACTATGCTTATTAAATACACATTTAAAATACATTAAATATACATTTGGTTCTGTCAGTTTCACAGACCTAAGATCTAGTACTCTCCAATTTTGCCTCTCTTTTTATGGATGTGCACTGGATATTACTTAATTTGGAGGCCCAGAATGGCAGAATTGTCAATTAAGAAAGTCACCAATTTTTATAGCAAGCAAATATGAAGACCCTAAAATACTGATTGGTCCCACATTATACTTTCTTTCTGGATATTAGCCATACTGTTTAATGACAAATTTAAAAAAAATTGTGTGAGAAATAGTCCAAAATGAGTTAAAGTACACAGAAATGCATGGGCAACACATATTCATGTTGAGTGTGTTTCTTTTTCCCTCTTTTTTCTTTTGCTGTCTTGGAGATTGAACCTGGGACATCATAACATACCATGCAAGCGCTCTACCACGAAGCTTTACCCCAGACCCTTGTTTGAGTTCTTTGAGCTATGCTTACAATAATAATATCAACAGATAAGGTGTAGGATAGATGCTTGAAAAGGGAAGAATTTATCCATCACCTTTTCCTTTTGTTTTTCCTTTTGGTACTGCTGCTTGAACCCAGAGGTGCTTTACCACTAGCTGCACCCCACAGCCCTTTTTTAAACTTTTTTTTGTTGTTTTTTCAAGTCAGGGTTTTGCTAAGTTGGTAGGGCCTTGCTAAGTTGCTGAGGCTGGCCTTGAACTTGCAAGCCTCCTGTCTCAGCCTCTCAAGTTGCTAGGATTACAGATATGTGCCACCACACCTACCTTTGTCTTAGGACATAMCATATGAAGGCACCATAGCAAACACAGAGATACACATGGTATATAAAACATTCTAAGTTCATGCTTATGAGGCTTCTTTCAGAATCACAGAAAAAAACTTAAAAAGTCACCATGTGACTGACCCAAAACCTTTGTAACATCATGTAGTGCCGGAAAGAAGCCAATAGTTCCATCCCTTGAACCTGGAGAGCTTTCAGTCACTAAGTAGTATGTCCTTGTGGGCATTTTTCTATTAAAGAAGACTACGTATTCCCACTCCATTAAACTGAAGCAGGTAAGTATTTATCCTGTGTTTCTTAGGAAAGGCCTTATAGGGATGAAAAAATAGTCATATTTATAAATGCTAATCTATATTGCACTTCTATTATTTTCTACTTTTAATAGCATATAGGTTCTGTTGGCTCTAGTTTTTATTTCTTCTTGCACATGTGCATTGTACAGAAGTCCATCATTTGCTGTATAGAGTCTTGATTTCTATTCTTCTGGTGAAGCTTTTCAAGGTCATCCTGGCCTCATATCCATCACTCACATGTGCCTCCCCGATTTCCTTTGTCAGTAGTACATATCAAGATGATTAATGGTTCAATGTTCATATTCAGAAATCTGACTAGATAACTGTCGTTTTATTTGTTGGAATTTATAATTCAAAAAAACATTGATGAAGTTGTTCAAGAAAAGAGATCAATACAAGTCAGTTTTACTTATTATGAACGACAAAGCTTGGTAACTTGTTAGTTTAAATAGGCTCTGTACCTGCATACTCCYTAGGAATGAGCTAGGGGATTAGGGAGGGGTATCCAGTCTTTTTAAAGTGACTCTACTGCAGTGCTGAGAGAAAATACTCAAACAGGAAAGACTGAATACCATCTTGAGCTAGAGGTTTTTTCACTGACAGAATGAGAATCTATATGAGTTTTGTAAGAATACCTTACTTTTATTCTCTTTTGGCAGGGAGTATTAAGTATTTACTTACTTTAAATATTATTAATCCATTATTTTTACTTCATTATTTACCTAAAAAGATGCATTGCTTTTATAAGAATGACAAGGGCTTATTATTAAAAATAAAATAGGGACCATCAAATAAATTTTTTAAAATCCCCTGAAATCTATGGTCCAAGATGATTTTGGCCTTAAGAAGAGGTATTAAAGCAATATAAAGGATTAAAAAATATCAAAATAAATTCAAGGTTTTATACAAAGTTTGTAAATGGTACAAGGTATGGGTTTTTGTCAGCTTTTTTGCTGCTGTGACACAGAGACCTTACAAGAACAATGTAGAGAAGGAAAAGTTTATTGGGGAGCTCACAGTTTCAGAGGTTTCAGTCCATGGGTGGCTGACTCCATAGCTCTGGGCTTGAGGTGAGGCAGAACATCAGGGCAGGAGGGTGTGGTGGAAGAAAGCAGCTCAGGACATGGCAATAAGAAAGGAGAGAGGGCTCTCCTCACRAGGGACAAAGCATAAACCCCACTAGCACAACTCCAGTATTCTGACTCCTCCAGCCATACCCTGCCTACCTACAGTTACCACCCAGCTAATCCATTCAAATGGAGAACTAATGCACTGATTAGATTAATACTCTCATAACCCAATCATTCCACCTCTAAATTTTCTCACACATGAGCTTTTGGGAGACACCTCATATCTAAATTATCACAGTGCATTTCAAGTTGAGAGTTTTATTGTTTGTTTTTCCATAAATTTTGTTTACGTGGCTATTATTTTAGGAGAAATAGCTTATTCCCAATCTTAATCTTTAACATATAAATTTCAAGCATATTACTGTTTTATTTTTTAAAAAGTGAAACTATAAAATTATGATAAAATATGTTAATATTTTAAAGTGTGTCAGCCAGAAAATAGAAAAGAAAAAAAAAAAGGAAAACCCTAAATCAGGCTGAATAAAATACAAAAGTTACAACACATCAAAAAGACAAGCAAAACATAACTAAATCATAGATAAAATTACAAGAGAAAACAAAATGGGAAGAAAGGATAGCATATGACAAGGAGCTAATTTTGTAATGTTCTAAAAATGCCTACTCTTAATAAAAAAATCAATAAAAAGTAAGATCAGAATGACAATATAATGTACAAAAGACAAATACTTCTTCACAGGAGGAGAAAAATCTGCTTTCTTGGGGATTAAATTATCAATTAGTATTGATTTCACCAGCATTTAAAAAATCCATAGTATATATTTACTTAATATGCTAGAAAATTCCATTACAATAAATAAATGGAAAGAATCATATTATCAATAGGCCTGTGAATCTCAGTTGTCTCCTGTTCCCAGCTATGTGATGCTTAGTCAGTCTGCATGTGGCCTCTCATGGATAGATAAAACCAGAGTATTCCATAGGATTCTGCATTGAAGTCCAAGAGTGTTTTGGAATTTTCGAGATTACAGATACGCAATGCTCTTACCTATACTCTGAGATGCACTGGTAATTTTAGTATAAAAATGAATGATCAATAATTGTTCAAAATGTAACTTTTGAATATGCTGCCATGATTGATAGTTACGCCTCGACCACAATGAAACTCAAACTATTATTAAAAAGGACCTTCCCCTCTTTCTTAACACTAAATTCAGGCTCCTGGAGATCTTTCATAATTTCTGCTTTGAGATCTGGTGGTGCTGTTGTGTTAAAGTTGCAGGTTTCTGTCAAAAAATCCCACAGCAGGTCTCCATTTTCATTACCATCAATAAAACAGTCAGTAATGTCCATGGTGGACAGAAGGTCATAACACTCATACTTGATCCCCAGGTTGTCCAGCATCTGAGTAAGGTGAGAAGATGTGACATACTGGCAGAGGTCATCTCGGGGTAGGCGGGATCCATACTTTTTCCACAGCTTGTCCCAGCCACTGATCCCTGGGTAACAGAATAAAATTCACATGTTCACTTATTCTTTCTTTCATTTACCTCCTGCCAACCAGTACACTAGATGTTTGGAAAGAGCAGTGAACAAAATAAAATTCTCATACTTTGTGGAAGTCAATTTAAGGAACACAGATGAAGGAGAGGGTTAAATAAATAAGTAGACATGTCTGATGAGGATAAGTGCTAAGTGAAAAGCTAATCAGAGTAAGGGATGAGGAGGCTAATGAATTTGAAGAAGTGTCATTTTATCTAGGGTGGTCACAGAGAGTCTTTTTAATAAGGTGACATTTGAGCAAAGACCTAATAGCAAGCCATGTAGACATCAGAGGGAAGATTACTCCAGGTAGAGAAAAAAGCAACCGAAAAGGATGTAAAGCAGACACATGCTTGACCTGTTTAAGAACCAAACAGGAATTCACTCAATTGGAGTTGAGTAACCAAGGAATAGAGAAGAAAGAGATGAGGTTAGATGAGTGGCAGGTATTCTAGATGAAGTGCCAGATCACATGAGGACATATTGGAAACCACTGTAGAAACAAATTAGAAGTTTATGGTCTGATGGAAATGTTCTATCTGTGTTGTCCACTATGGTAGTCACTTACCACCTGTAGTTATGCAGCACTTAAAATGTGATTAGTTGTTACTGAGGAACTGAATTATAGAATTTTAGGTTTCATTTCATTTTAATCAATTTTAATTTCAACTTCAATAGCCAAATATGGCTCCCATATTGGAAAACACAATATTAAGAGACTAATTTTCATTTTAATAAGGCASTCTGGCCATACAGATGAGAATTGACTCCAAGCACATAAGAGAAGAAGCAGAACAGTGAACTACTAAAAACAAGTGGTCGGGCATTTTTTTTATCTTATGCTCCTAAATCCAATGGTATTTGGCAGCAGCTTGGATTTAGGGTATGAACAAATGAAAAGAATCAGTGGAAACTCCAGGGATTTTTGCCTAAACAAGGGGAAAAGCAGAATTGCTATTAATTTGAGTTTGGAAGAATGTGGAAAGAACAGATTTAAATGTATCAACAGCCATGTGGTTTGGGAACTATGAAGTTGAGATACCTACTGGATATTCAGGAGGTGATATAAAGAAGGTAGTTGTTTGTGTTAGTCTGAAAATCAGAAGAGAGGCTCCAAGAGTTTTTTAAAAAAAAATGAAGTGGAAGGAAAGAGCACAGTAAATAAACGATAATTTACTCAAACCAAAGGGTAGCCTCATGTCCATACACCATTTATAAGACACTGCCGTGGACTGCCATTAACTAGGCTTGCTACAAATTTTGCACCYCAACTTTAGAAGGCAGTTTAGCAATATCTGTTGTATTAATTGAAAATTTAACCCAGCATAGAAGCTAAGAGATATATCATGTGGTTTAAGTTAATGTTCCTAGAGTTAATTCAACCTAAGAGATTATCCAAAACAGGAAATTGGAAATAATAAATACTCTAGGTACTTGATATTCTACTAATGTTTCAGAAGATGGAAAGATACTTGCAGGATTTGCTCTAAAGAGGTAAGACTGGATGAGGCAGAAAAAAATTAAATTGTAGTTGAATTTAAAAAAGATTATGAAAATGTATTTTTAAATACTTCATGCCAAAGATAGTAGACTGTCTTCTCAAAAGAGAAGCCCTGCTGTCATTATTATTATTATTATTATTATTATTATTATTATTAAACCTGGTGGAGAGAAAAGAATCAAACACCAATTGCAGAAAATTTGCTGGTGTCAGTGCTGTGACTCAGTGCCACTTCTGAGCTTAGCAATTATACACTCTCTGACTGATGCATTATCATAACGGCTCTCAGTGGGCACAACATATGGTGTTACTTTTGCTTTCAACATGATATAAACCAGATTATTTTTTCCCTGTGTCTTAAAATAACACACCACGATTTGCCTGCTTCCTTCGGAGAAGACAGAAAACTTGGAGAAATCCTTCTATGTCATCTCCCTTGACTAGATAGGCTGTCTTCAATTTGGCAGCTCTCTCAACTGAGACCTGACTACATTATCTGCAGAACTATGCCACCAGCATCATTTTAGTTGGGGATACTCCTCATTTAAAACAAAATCCAAATCTTTAGTTCTTCTTTCTTCTATTTTTCACCCCCAAATCAAATCTTTCATCTTCATAATCAGGAATCGCTGCTAGTTATCACTAAGTGCATATTTACTGAGCTGGGTTAGTTGTATAACGAGTGCTTAGGAACAGAGAAAAGTGTCTTTCCCCTCAAGCAACATGCATTCTAATAAACTAATCCATAAATGCAGTCATTTAATTCTGATTTCAATTTCTTTCTTTTCCCAATTAGTTTTACATGTTTACCCTTTATTGTTTTTATCTGGGCATTTCTCTCTCTCTCTCTCTCTCTCTCTCTGTGTGTGTGTGTGTGTGTGTGTGCTCTGTGCATGTGTATGATTTAACCTTTTATTTCTGTTTATTTTAAAACCCACCTGCAAATAGTATATTTTATGTTATTTATATTTTATTTTTTGGTAACAGTGACTTAACCCAGGAGCTTTTTGCCACCATGCTGCATACCCAGTCCTTTTTATTTTTTTTATTTTGAGACAGGGTCTCAAAGTTGCTAATGGACTTGCTAAGTTGCTGAGTCTGGCTTGGAATTTGTGATCCCTTTTCCTCAGCCTCCTGAGTTGCTGAGATTACAGGTATGTGCCACCACATACCTATAGGCAGTTTAAAAGGAAATGTCCTTTTTTGGGGGGATGGACATTCAGAGCTAATTATAGTTCTTATATCACAAGGTAGAAATAAACCACTATTCAGTTCAGATCAAACACATTTTGAGTATCTTCTGCAGGCAAAGGTTTAATAAAGATCTGGCAATAAATTAAGAGGCAAAGACCCTGCTCTCAAGAAACGCTCCTGAACTCCCTATATGTAATAGCACATTGCTTAAAGTGTTTACAGATCTGAATACTTCTTTAGATTAGGAGTCTTTCAAAGGTAGAGGAAAGCCAGGTGTGGTGTTCATACCTGTAATCCCAGTAGCTTAGGAATCTGAGGCAGGAGGAACTCAGCAATTTAGCAAGGCTCTAAGAGACTCAGTAAGACCCTGTCTCTAAATAAAATACAAAAAGAAATTTTAAAAAAAAAGCTGGAAATGTGGCTCAGTGGTTAAGTGTCCCTGGGTTCAATCCCCAGTACTCCACTCACTCAAAAGAAGGAGAAGAAATATGATGGTTTGGGGCTGGGGATGTGRCTCAAATGGTAGCGTGCCCTCCTGGCATGCGCGGGGCGCTGGGTTCAATCCTCAGCACCACATAAAAAGAAAATAAAGAAGTTGTGTCCATTGAAAACTAAAAAATAAATATTGAAAAAATTTTTCTCTCTCTCTTAAAAAAAAAGAAATATGATGGTTATCTCGGTACCTTTCAAAGCCTACAATTGACTGATAGTACAAGCTCAAAAAACTGAACAAACCAAATCCACAAGTAACTATGCTATACAGCAAACATGGAACTGAGGTATATATTGAACACTGATGATCCCGTACTGCATCTTAGCCAAACGAGATGATCAAATGACTACATATTTCATTACCTTAACATCTAATAAATTTCAATCATAAGTRTCCATATAATGCTCAAATAATGGTAATTTGGTAGATTCAATTAAAGAATCCATTCAACTGGGAATAGGTTAATATCTGACTGCTGGGCATATAAGAACTCAGGCTACATGGCTTACTTAAGATGATCCTTTAGAGCAAGATGATTCTCCAGAAACATCATTGATCTACCTAGATGAGATCTTGGCTAGATGAGTGCTCTTAGGAATTTAATTTAGTAAATAAATTCTAAGCTGTTCTGAGTCTACCTACAATAAGTACTCCACTTTCTTCATTACAGAGCAGATATGGATGAAAATATTATGCTAAAACAAATGAAATGCATCCTGAAACATCTTTGTTGTTTGTTGAAGCAAATTCCATRTAGAAGGTGATCACAAGATCTTGTTAAAAATGGAGAGCAGTGTGAACCATTTCAGATTAGGTATTCCAGTATTCAAGTTTATGAGCTATTTGTTTCTTTTAAATTATTTTATTTATTTATTGGTTTAATTAAATGCAGGGCTTTGCACATGCTAAATATGTACTCTACACTACACTTCCAACCAGATTAAATGTTTTAATCTGACAAGTTGATAGAGAATGAAGTTTGAAGAATTAGTTCGGTTGGCAAGACAGGCTAGGGCAATTCTTCCTATAGGAGGAGTAGGAGGGACACAGATGGAGCACCTAAGTCTTCTAAGAGTTCTTAAACATGTCTTTCATTCATAGAGTAGACTAGCAGAGATGGATTTGAGGCTTCATCATGAAATGACTAGTAGCAATGTGGATTATTCCAGTGCATGTTTACTGATAGAAAAATTTACTGGTTTACTGGTTAGAAAAATTTTTGTGGCTAAATTTGTTTCCAATGTTGGGAACTAAGCTTGATCTATTTTTAAAAACAATGAACCATATTTATATTGGATACAACCAAGTAAATATTGCTATTTTTTAAAAGGAAACTATAGTTACTTCCAGACAATGAGAGGGCAATAGAACTTGTCTCAGAAAATGTGTTGTTGTAAGGCAGGTTGGTGGGTGCAAGGGTTTGTCTTGGTGATAGAGGTAAAGCAAAAGGGACTTAAACTATGCCATATAACAAAAGGATTAGACTAGGGAAGTGAGGAGCTGGCATCATAGCATTGAACTAAAAGAATATAGGGAGGTCAAAAGAAGTTATGAGAGTAGGTCCAAGGGAGGTGGGCCCTGAGTTCGCAAGAGAAAGACCAGAAAGAAACTGGCTGTGAGACCTTAATGCTGAATTCTGTCCTCTGCTCTGCCTACCCTCAGGTCTCAAAGAATAATGCTTTGGAGAATGTAGGAGGTAAGACTATGTCCATGCCTGTATATGGTGGAACAAGATGAGAAAGGGTGGGTGCAGCTCGTGCAAGGTCTAGAGAGAAAGAATCAAGTGGTGAACTACGAGCAGAAATTTTGAAAAACAGAGGCTGGCAACCATCAGGAGCATGTAAGCCTGAGCCCAGGAATCCTCAGGAGTATAGGAATGATGAGGAGGGAGGACAGACTATGCACATTACTTAGGATGAAAGCTTCAGTCATTTACTTAGTAATTATAAGAGTTAAGTACGAACCTATAGGATTAGGGAACCTGGAGGCATTCCACTTAAACTCAGTGGATTAATATATTCAACATATTCCTTTTTCAGATGGGGTGTTTTCTTGAACTTTAAAGAAAATTATCTTGGAAGTGTGTTTATTTCTTTAATTTTAACATCTTTAATTTATTTAACACTTCTGATAATAGAAAAATATGAGTCAWTTTAGCATTAGGAGAGAGAGAAGTGAAGAATTCAAATAAAAGATCTAAATCTATTTTCTCTTTTCTTCAGTGGTTCGTCTTTTAAGAAGATATGGATGTAGTATTTCTTCCATGGCAGTTAAGCCCTCTTCTAAGAAGTGACCATGGGAAAGGAAAGAGGAAATCAGTCCCAGTGCCATAATCTGACTTCTCTTATTTATTACATTCTTATGTTTAGGAATGACAGCAGTTTGCAATATTTTTCTCTTTAGGACAGCTGTCTCCTATACTATAAGCAGTATAAAAAGAACCTGTGAACTGCATATTGAGAAAGTAAAAAAAAAAAACATTTATTTCCACCATCCAAACTACCTTGATTAACTTTTTCCTCAAAATTCTTTTCAGGCATGTCTGAGGTCCTGGGTTTAATCCCAAACACCACAATCATCCAACCAACCAATCATTCAAWGAATAGTTTTCAAAAAGAGCTAACTTGTTTTTGAGTCTTTACTTACTCCCTCTTGATTTTTTTTTATCCCTGAGTACATATTTATATAGCACATATGAATCACATATATGGATAGATACAATGTAGGTATGATTATCCAGAAACAGACCTTGAATTAGCTAAGGCTCAGAGACCAAGTTTACATAAGTGGCAAGTGCCTTAGTTTTCTTGCCCCATGTATCATTCTTATGTGTGTCTTCATTTCTCTCTCTCTCTCTCTCTCTCTCTCTCTCTCTCTCTCTCTCGTGCTAGGGATCAAACTCAGGACTTTGTGCATGCTAGGCAAACACTTTAACACTGAGCTACATCCCCAGCCCTGTTATTCACATTTCTTGATGCCAATAAACCATGGCTTCTAGTAACGCATTCATAACATGGCCAGCAGAACACTGTGTCTATGAGGTTACTTGGTCAGTTCTCAGTTGCATAGAAAACTCACGACACTTTCTAAATCTGGCTTTTTAAAATTAATAAATAYATACTCATATACTCTGATACTCTAATATTTAATTCCTAAAAATATTTTAGAATAAACCAAATACAAATATGAGAGTGAACTTGCTATTGCTATGAAATATATTTTAAAATCAAACCATATTATTTATGGATGAATTGCTATTTATGTATGCAAGAATTCTTCTGGTCCACTGATGCAGATCATCAACAACAGACTTTTGACAATGTCAAGAACTAACTTTACTTTTATGTTCCTAAATGCAGTGCAAAGTACTTTAGCCCAGTGTCCTAATTTAGAGAGAAACTAGTAGAAAGGATCMTGTTTACATAATCTCTTTTAAATGGAAAGTCAGACTTTTCCCACATAAATTCATACTTTTAACTAACTAGAGGTAAAAAAAAAAAGTATATCAAAATGTTCTCATGGGGAGCAGGTTGTGCACAGGAGGTCTCACTGCCAAACTCTCATAAAAGTTCAAGCCCTGGATTATAAGCAGCAACTAGTTTTGCAATCTTGAAAACTATTCATTATATTTAAGAACAAGTTAATTTTATGACATAAGGATTGAGTATGGAGTTGGCTATGTGGCTGAGGATGATAGGGACTTTGTGCATTTTGAATCAAGACATTTATCACTAGGTGGGCAATCCACAAAGACTGCATGGAAGGATTATTCTAATGAATAAATGACCTCAATAATGTTGACGTTTCATTTTCTAAGAACATTTACTTATGTTCTCTACATGGCACTCTGTATCTCTGGAAGCCACATGAGGGGATCAAAAGCTTCTCTGGCAAATACATCATCCCAAAACAAACCATGTGGGCCATTTTTTTTAATAGGTGTTTGATAAGCTACAATGAGCAGTGTTGTTAATGGTTTACAAATGGGAATTAATCAAATATGATAGCATCTTAAATATTTTAACCTTTAGTTATTAATTAATATCCAGAAGCAAAGGGATACTCAAGTGACACAAAGTAAGTATAAATATTCACTACTCTTAGGCTCACTTAAAAATTCCTATCACTTGGGGCTGGGGTTGTGGCTCAGTGGTAGAGTGCTTGCCTCACATGTTGAGGCACTGGGTTCAATTMTCAGCACCACATGTAAACAAATAAATAAAAGTCCATCCATAACTAATAAAATATTTTTTTTAAATTCCTATCACTTGACTTTCCTCTGTTGTATGAAGAATTCATAAAAGAAGACAAAGACTTTTACCCAAGAAAAAGAAGTAAATAGATATTTAATTCCTTTACACCCCCTAAACTAAGAATGTAGCAAAAGACTTTCTTAATAGTATAAAAAATAATTAATTGGAGTCAGAAACTAAGGCAAGAATTTTATAACAATGACAAAATATACTTGATCTCCTCAAACACATGAATCCATACATACATGCACTATTGCCATTTTAAAATTCAGGCTGAACGAAAATAACTTACCTGATACAAGAATAATGAGAATCTTAGCATTGTTAGCTAAGAGACTATGGAAGAATTTCAGAGTAGCTGGAATATCTTCTACATAATACAGCATCTAAATAGGAGGGAAAGAGAAATGGAAAAAGAAAAAAAGAGAGAAATGAGACATTGCTCTCTGTTGGAGTCTTTGTTGCTTGGACTAGAAGGTTTGATTTTCAAGTTCAGTGAATTTTTATCCAATAAAACTCTTAAGACATTTAAAGATTAAARATGTTATATGGAGAGATAGGACAACAGCATAGGAAAATATTTGGGAAAATGGAAAACTATGGCATTTGTTCAATTAAAGCCAAATAGGTTTAAATTTTACTTCTGGCTTCTATAACACAGACATTTATAGCTGGAGACACTTTGATTCCATTCCACATGGGGACATCGATCCTCTGCCTATTCTATATTTTGTGAACTGCAGTCTTCTGGGAGAAAATGGTGCTGGCACCATAAAATCAGACCCCATTTCATGGAACGTTGCTTTAAAATTAAGTCCTTTGTTCTAGCTTCTCCATGTGCTCACAGATGCTTTTTTAAAAAAAAAAAAAAGAAAAAGAAAAAGAAAATCACAGAAAAATGTGACAAGTTCTGATGTCTAGGACATTGACCTGAAAAACGCAGGAAGCTACATGCTTGGTCATAGAGTGTTAGGGGTCAGCCCACCCTCTTTTAGTAAGGGCAGAACTTCCAACATACAGAGTGGGATATTATTCACTGGGAGTGGGAAAATTTCCCTAATGATTTTCATGCCCAAGCGGTTAACCACCCCACAGATACTTCTTATATCTCACCTTCCTCTCTCTCAGACAAGAATTCAATATTCCATATAGTGTGTTCATAACAGAATTCATTGCACAAAGGCAAAACAACTTAAGCTGTAGACTCTCTCACGTGAATGAATGAAATAGAATGAAGCTGCCTGTGGCCCATGCTGCCTCAGCAGCCGTGTTGAGTGCCAGGTCACTCCACATTACCCACCACAGGGAGCGCAGGCAGGCACCAACAGGGCTGATCCACAAGATGGCTAAATACCTATGACATGACCTGGATGAAAAAGAGACAGGGCCATAGCAGACATCCTGAATTGTTATCTAAGACCCAGGGAGACCTGTGGGCTGACTGTGAATATCGAGAGAGTGTCAGGACTGAAGTAGCAGTGAAGAGATAGAGCTCAGAAAATGTCGAGTAGATAAAGGAAAGAGAGATGCTGTGAGGAAGAAAGGACAAACATGGAAGTCTGAGGGGGCGGGGGACGACAAAGAAGCTGATGCCTAAAGCCACAGTATTTTAGAACAAGGAAAATAATGGGAATCAGAGCATTAATGGAAGAACTGGCTTTTGACAAGAGGAGGCTTCTGCAACAAGATAGAAGGAGATGATGGTTACAAATGCAACTGTGTTTGCAAGTTAAGAGGGTGAGAGATGAGTTTTCATCTGATAATTTATATGGTTTCCTCACAATAAGAAGTGAGGTCATCAGCTGGGGATGAATGGTAGGGGGAGGTTGCAGGAGAATAAGGAAAGAAGGGAGTTATGAAATAGTTATGTGAGCAGAGGGGAAAGCAAGTATAATAGACAAACACCCAAGGCTTGCTTAACAACATTAAGTGCCCCCTCATGCAGAAAAGCTTTTATCAACCAAGGGAACAGAGGTGTAGGATTGCCTAAATATGTCAACCTTGGGGTCGTTTTTTCTTTTGGTTTCTTCATGAGTTTATTTCTTTGGTCTAACTATARTTGTGGTCTATAGAACAGAAAAAGTGTTTTGTTATTCACCAAGTGGTAGATCTGAAATATGCACATCTGCTGGTAGTAGCCAACTCCCAAAGCCTAGACATTGCTCATGCAATGCAGAAATATCCTTGAAGGCTGGAAATTCATCTATTCATCTATTCATCTGGTCCTCTATTCAAGAGTTATCACTCATTAGGCTCTTGGTGCTAGACATAGAAATAAAGTCCTGCTGAATGACTGGCTGATATCAGTAAGACTTTATTGACCTGAGGAATCATAAAACTTGCCCCTTTTGCTTTATACACAGTATACAGGCTGTTTATTAAAGGCTAAAGCAAAAAAGGATTTAGAAAAAATGTACATTCCAGACCATTTGGGTCATTGGAAAAATAGCCAGGACATATATTCACTCTACTATGTATTCGTTCTACTATATATGAATCTGTGTGGGTTTCTCACTGCAGAAAACTATATCTAGATAGATAGATAGATAGATAGATAGATAGATAGATAGATAGATAGATAGATAGGTAGATAGATAGATAGATAGATATAGATAGATAGATAGATATAGGTAGATAGATAGATATAGTGATGACTATAGAATAAAGAAAATTGGCCTTATGGGATGTTAAGGAGAATTTTATCAATACTTGTATTTGAACAGATAATTCTCCCTTGTAGAATGAGAAATCACAAAATTTTCATTTAAAAAAACATTAAAATTTTACACATGCTTGATGAATATTTCTAAAAAATCTCCCTTCTGATAGTATTATTATAATAAATATTTCTTACCTGAATCATATGAATAAAGTCCCACTTTTGAAGCTCTTTTTTCTCCATTATTCTATTTTGATATTCAGATGATGTCTCCTTATGCCAAGCAAACTTTATGTTCTCGAGGTTTGATGTCTTGGCTACAAGCTCTAAAATACAGAGAAGAGGTGGCACACCATCAATTTTAATTGCAAATGTGGAACCAATTTCCATTTAGAATTTTAATGCAATCAATGTTATATACATAACAGATATAAAACACATTTTTCTTTTTTATGCAGCTCTGGGAAACCTTGGAGCTCATTCTGATTTTTTCCCAGGATTAAATAAAATTAGAGGTAAAAGGAAGAGTCAATAAGAAATAATTATGAGAACCTGGTTAGATATAGGTTACATTATCTTAGTATTAATGGGGAATCAACTAGTAAATTTTATTAATGTAAAGTTGATATGAAACAGGTAAAATGACTGTGTAAATCAGGAGCAGGAAACCAAGGCCCAGGACTATATCTGGTCTACCACCTATTTTGCATGAACTATAAACTAAAAACATATATTGTTCTATTTCCTGACTTACTGTCTCTGTCATTCATGTTTCATGCTATTACATTATTATTATTTTATTATTATTAAATGATTAGAAAAATCAAAAGGACAATATTTCATAATTTGTGAATATGAAATTCAAATGTCAGCATTTATAAATGAAGCTTTATTGAAACACACTGATATTCAGTTTAAATACTGTCTATGGCGAGCTTTGTGCCAAAACATCAAAGTCAATTAGCTGTGACAGAGACCAGTGGCCTTCTGAGTCTTAAACATTTACTACTTGGCCCTTTTCAGAAAAAAAAAAAAAAAAAAGCCAATTCTTGTTGTAACCCATTAAAGATAAGCTATTTAAGGGCAGGAATTCTGTCATATTCTGAATCAATGAATGACTCTGACCCTAAGAATAAAAATTAAAACTAATAGTTGATGACGACATGGTAATGGATGGAGAGTCAATAAGAGTCTAATTATTCACTGTTCACAGGCTGAGGCGTTCAGTCATGCCTTTAAGAATTAATTAGGTTCTTCTCCAAAGAAGCTTACAAAGAGTATACCACAGTCACTGTATTATTAATCATTCAAGGCAAAAAATATGAGATGATAAGCCTTTGTGGATAAGATTTGGCATATAGCACCAAAGGCTACAGGTACCTTTGTATTTGGTGATTTGTTCTGTACTCGGTTCAACAACTTCATTGTTGATATGCAYTCCTGGGTATTGAACCTGAACTTTGGAGAGAATTTGAAGATCAATTTCACCTAGAAGATAAATATACAGAACAGATTACACCATTACAAAAAGAAGTGATTAAGAACAATTTGAGCTGATTTATTATCTGCCTTACTTTTACAAGAAAAGACTAGCAGAAAAAATAATGCAAAACTGTTCCACTGCCACAATACCTGTAAGGCAGAAAAGCTAGGTTTTCAGTAAGACTCATAATGTAATTTTAGGGGGAACATGAATGTCATTCATCCATTCATTCATTCACACATATAATCTTTATTTAATATCCATCACTGCATTTTATTAAATCAAAGATGTCATTGATTACAGAAGATGACAATCCCTATTCTTGTTTTACCAAGTCTGGAAAAAAAACACCATTAGATATAATTTTAAGATTTTATCAACTGACCATAATCTGAGACATTAAGATAAGGAAAAATAGCTTAGAATGAATAAACTTGTCTAGGCTAGAAGAATGAAAAAAAAAGATTAAAAAAATATAAAAACATATGTTAGGTACTAATAAAGGATACAAAATATGTCAGACATCTGCCTTCTAAATTATCATTGCCTAGTGGAAGAGACAGATATGGCAACAATCCTGACTGTATTGGGCTAGGGTGGGATGAGGAGAGGAAATCATGAGGGAAAGGATATAGGAGAAGTTAAAATAAGCAGAGCTTCTTGAAAAGAGACCACTCTCTAGCTCGCTCTCTCTCTCTCTCTCTCTCTCTCTCTCTCTCTCTCTCTCTCTCTCTCTCTCTCTCC